TCTAATAATTTTAACCATGTTTTCTAAAAGACATAATAAAACGTCTGAAAGATGCTTGTTTTATGTCGTGTATGGATGTTCTTCAAAAGGTCGCACTAAGGACATCTCAAAGACGTCTTTTCAATGTCTCAGGCGTTCAGACAGTATTAGTGCATAAAATCGACACATTGTGCTATCTGGGCTGCCGATAGAATTTTATTGATATTTCATCATAAAAACTTCAGAAAAAAATAACGAAATTGGTTAAAAAATATATGAATCAGATACGAGTATATATTTTTTAATCGTGGTTGGGAAAACGAACAAATGTGTACCTTTAAAGTTTAGTTACAGGTTCAGGATTCAGGTTTCTTATATGTTCACTAATATTCCTAACTTGCTATAAAGCTGACTTCTAATAATTTTAACCATGTTTTCTAAAAGACATAATAAAACGTCTGAAAGATGCTTGTTTTATGTCGTGTATGGATGTTCTTCAAAAGGTCGCACTAAGGACATCTCAAAGACGTCTTTTCAATGTCTCAGGCGTTCAGACAGTATTAGTGCATAAAATCGACACATTGTGCTATCTGGGCTGCCGATAGAATTTTATTGATATTTCATCATAAAAACTTCAGAAAGGAAAATCTATTGTAATAATAAAAGCATTCAACTGGCAAAGCTATTACTTCCTAGGTCCATTCTCCACTGGCGTATTCAGGGGGGCGCTTTAGGGCTCAAGCGCCCCCCGAATCTCACGGCCTAAGATGTTTTTCATTATTGAAATGGGTAATATGGGGGTCAAAACAAATCAAAAAGTTCATATGACCCATGGTCCAAAAGTCAATAGATTTTTGTCTAAATGGCTTTATAGTTTACAACTTTAAGTGCTCTATATCGACCACAATCACCACAATCTTACTCATTTTTATAATCTAATCTAAAACGTTTTTAAATTGGGTAATTAACAAATAAATGGCATCAAGTTTTACTAAGTTAAGCCAAAATTTGTAGTTAGTAACTAAGTAAGTTTCATTGAATTGAATATTTAAAACACACACACAGCGCGTCGGTCATCATCACTCTTATCGAACCAGCAATCGATCGCAAACGGTAACAGTGGTTAGTATGTTGTTTGGTTTTTGTTCGTGGACGTCGTCGTCTTGATTTACAGAATTCAAATCTTGCAGCTCACATTTATCGCTACAGATTTTGCCAACGGGTACACCCAGACAGAAGGGCATTTGTGCAAGTGTACCAAAGACTTCGAGATACAGGAAGACCGACTTTTCTAGAATGTGAATCCCCTCCCCCCTTAAAAAAACCTACTTCCGGATACTCCAGTACGACCTTCCATCCAATTGTAGGCTTCGGCTTAACCGAAACAATCTCAATTGCTGGAAAAATATCTGGATTCTGAAAAGGTTAAGAAATGTTGCTTTTGATCTGCAAATGTTCACTATAAGCATATCTCTAAAAGTTAATTTCACCCGCCTATTACAAAACGCCACGCAACGCTGAGTAGCACTGTCGCACGCATATCGAGATTGAATTTAGGTGATGTAGTGATGGTATTCTGGGTCATGCCAGGGCCAGTGCCGCCTGCTTTGATGACACCTGTAGCACAGAAAAGGGAAGACCTGTTATACACACATGTGTAAGATGAGAAGGCTGAAACGAATTTAATATTTTCCGGAAGAGTTGCTTTATGAATAAGTCTTATTAGAATATATGAAGGATATCTTTTGAAATTTTTGACTGAAATTTGGCTTATCGACAGATCCGCCTATAATGACGTAACAAATTAATATTACCGATAATAGTCAGTTTATTTGGATGCTTCGAAGCCATCTGCTTTGTTCATATTATGTCAAATGGCCAGAGAGAGATGGAAGGGCGAGACAGTGAGAGGCCCGGGTAGAACTGAAGTTCGCACCTATTTATTATTGGTATTTCCAATAACTTGAATTATTCGCACGTATATTATCACATATTTAGTCTGTAACATTTGTCACGTTTTACCTGTCAAGGTTGTAAAATTGAATGTGGTATTGTTCACCGACGCCCTTAAAAACAGAACTGCACTTTCTGTATCTTTCGTTGGCGCAAATGGGAAACGCCATTCTGGAGCCAAAAAACACGCTCTTGTTTATTGGAGAACAAAATCAGAATAACTGCCAACGTAGCTTCTCGGGTGAATTGTTTCTTGAGAAAATCTACAAACAGAAGTTTTCCTAACGTTAGAGCACGTGTACCTTGCCCTAAAACTTAGATATTTACACCGTATCATCTTTACGGAAGCAAGAGGGTCTCCAAAAATTCCGAAACGTTACGTGTAGGTAACTATGATCCCTTGCTCGTTTATGATCATAAAAATTAAATGCGATATAGACAACTTGATAGACGGCACATTTAAGAGAGCCCTTTTACCCTAAAGTGGCAACAATTCTGGATATCAAGTAACGCTCACGTGTTCGAAAGACGAGCCGAGCCGCCCACAAAAAATCCCTCGCTTAGGATATTCTGTAAATTATTGCCTTGTTTATCACGTAATATATACCATCCTCATGTAGAGTAGTAATAGTAATGCTGTGGAGGCAAATTCTGGCAAGTAGGCCACCTTTGGTCCTTTTTGCTAACCCCGAATGTGCCAACACTACTCGACATTCCTACCCTTTTATATTTTGAACCCTGCTGATCTAATAAACGTCAGGATGTCCGACCTCTCCATTGAATATGCGACTCCACTATGAAACTCCACGGCAATTAAACGAAGCAAAAGCCTAGGCAGTGTAACGTTGTCGTCCTCCTCTCAGTACATGGGGCAGACAAAATCTCTTTTTAGCCTTAGTAGTGCATGTTCAGTATACGAGTACAGTGACTAAAAAGAACCCCCACCAAAAGATTGACCGATTCTCTAGTTCAGTCCAGTCTGACATTTGTTACGCTACGAACCTTTTGGTCCTGCCTGCCGTGGTCTCTCTCTCTCTCTCTCTCTCTCGTCACGCTTTTCCCAGGTCTCTCTTCCCCCTTACGTTCAATGCAGTGTTAACCTGACGTCTGATCATATCTAGCCTAGGCTTGAATTGAAATTCCAAGTACGGCTCTGCCGTAAAATCCGTATTTACATCGTAGTCGTACGTCGCTGGCGCTTTGGACGTGATAGAGGGATAGGACAGGACCGTCTTCGGTTTGGTTCAGTTTATGCTCAATATCTCGATTTTCTTAAGACATTGGTGTATATGCTACTAACAAAATCCGCTTATTTTCTCAATATCTACACGTCCTGCAAAGGAAAACCCCAACTTTGCGGACACCCTGTATATGCGTTAGAGGTAGTTCGTCTCTGGGGTTCTGGATGAGCTAATGGTTTTCCATGGACATCATCAACCAAGGCTCCAACTGGTTACTAAGCTATCAAAATTCTGCAATTCTGTTGTTTTATGTCCATAGTCCAGTCAAAATCACATGAAGGATGTACGTAAGGCTGAAGAGTGTACCTGCAGTAATTGTAAATATGCGCACGAAGTATTAAAGGCAGTTAATATGACCATGATGTATTTGACAAAAACTGTACCAGCTCTACAAAGCAAATCCAAATATTCAAGGAACATTTCATGGAAAATAGTAATGAGTTGAAAAGAATGTATAGTTGTAAAAGAATTGTTACGTAATATTCTGTAGCTCAGATTCAAACGAAAGCATTGGAAAGAGATCATTTTTGTTAAAGGATTAAGGACATGATCTTTGTTATGTTCATGTTAATGTAATATTGTAAATTATAGCTAACTAAAAATACATGCTTTTCTATTTTAATATTTCATAGTGCTTGTCATAACCATCATGATTCGTACTTTTAGCATAACATTGGATTCAAGACGAATTCTTACTAACGAAATACCCTCATGTACTCTTGCGAATGATATATACCCTGGGGTTTCTTGTTTGACATTTGATGAATGACTGTAGTCAATAACATAAATGCAAGGACATAAAATCTGAAAAGCAATGCGAAATGCGATCACTGTTACGAATGGAGATGGTCAGGGTAGACTTCAGCATCTTTCTGAAGGAACCGTGCTCATGGTTTTTACTCTCCACGCCTACTAATCGCGAAAAAATTCGAAAATGAGATATTACCTTGTTTGGTTATTATATGAAATGTACAACAAGAAAAACCATGTCCGCAACTCCTTTCCCCGTCTATAACATACTGAGATTTGGATAAAATTTTCACACAAGGTTACTACTAAGTATACCAAGGACGAAAACGCCTTACAGATTTTGAAAATCGGTCCAGGGGCGGCGGAGAAAACTGTCAAGAAAAAAAAAACTCAATCTTAGATTTTCACGTTTTAGAGGATGCCGGTCATTTTTTAAACATCTTTTCGCGGTAAAAACTTTGAGGGGGTGGGTATTATAGGGGCGTGGGTAAGGGCATATCGCAATTTTTTATGTTTGTATATTAATACACTTCCAACCCAGTGTGCCACGGGATTGTTAATATTACACCTTTGGTTGTGGAAATGAGGGATTCCTAAAAGCAGGTTCCACATACGAAGTGGGCAAGATATTACCTATACAAGGTGATTCACAAGTCGTGACCAAAAATGAAACGTCATACACAGGACCGCATTTTAAGGGGGGTCTTTTATATAACATTTTTTCCTCGAGGGCGTCATTAAAAAGATACGGGGTGGTGAAGTTTAAAAATAAAAAACTTTTTTTTAATATCTTCAAAATCTTCAACTGGAATTTGGTATGTGAATTTATCTAAGAATTGTCCATATTCAAAAGCATTTACTTAAAATTAACGTGCACTAGTGGCGGAGGGGACTTCCAACTTTGCGGACACCCTCTGTTGTTGACAAACACTTTTACACCAGAGCTCCAAAGAAATAAGGCTACCGTGTATGGACACGTTCGTTGCTGCAATCTGACAAGGCTTACGTCTTTTTAATGCAATTGCATTATATGTAATTACAAGCAGTTAAAAAAAACAGTGGGAAAGAAGACACTAATTATTGCATTACTTTTTTATTTCCGAAAATATAGAATATATAATATTAATAACATAAACGTATCTCCAAGATTAAAACATAATTATACAGGTACTAAATCATAATAAAAAATACTGCATAGCTAACAAAGTCTAGTGAGATCGCGCAATGTCCGAGAAGAAAGTCAATATATCCTCTATGGTAAACTCCAGATTAATCATTGATCCTGGATAACACTGTTGAATAAGATCTTCCAACGTTTTATACTGCTGGATAAATTCTTCTTGCATTGCCCTCCACACTACTTGGAGCAAATTACCTTCCTCTGACAGATGCTTCTCGACTTTGCGGTAAAGAGATTCCAGACCTTTCTTAACCTGAAACAAAACGCAAAAATATACAGTGGGTCAAAAAAGTATTGGAAAATCCCATTTTTTTGAATCGCAATAATGGAAAGATGATTTTTTGTTACTACATTTAAAAATATGTAATAATTTTCTTCTTTGTTTTGTTAGTGCACCAGTATTTTTCTGACCACTGAATTTCATAATGCTTATTCTTTTTTTAATTCGCTCAATCTATTGCCATCACAATTGACTACTTGGATGTTAGCTTTAAAATAAATTCAGTAGCAAAAAGTACATCTTTTCATTACTGAGATCCAAGAAAAAAAAAGGATGTGCCGATGTTTTTCTACCCATTGAAGAAGGACTTTGACAAGGGCATAGAAAACAGAAAACTGACAAGAAAGGCCCAGAAAGGATCTAAGATAAGATATTGTTCTACAAAAATAATGCTCCTGTTAAGGAACAGAACAGTACTATTTACTTACCGTACTTCCAGGATACTGGTTGATTACTTTGCGTAATTCCTGTTTGCTATAAGCTAATTGATAACTAACTTCCGAAGCCTTAACTCCGCTAGCAACTCGCGCCTGTACTCCCTCGAAGAACGTCTGGAACACAATAATAGTTTTTTACATGTTAAAAAAGGAACATAAAAAATTAAGCACTATAAAATAGATTCAGAGACATTACGTAGAATCTCGTTTATCTCACATATTTAAATATATTTTTGTATTGTGAGGGCCGGAATGTCAATAAAGTTATTCAAGCACCATCCTATGATTTTAGTTATTATCCTAGTCAGCATATTTGGCAAATCAGAACAAAACAGTTCAAGGCAAAACTTTCTTGTAAAATGACTGCTAAGTCAAACTTACGTTGAGTTTTTCCAAAGGACGTCCAAAATAAAGCGTGACGTAAGAATGCAAAGCTTCATTATATTTTTGTTTAGCTTCCTTCCTCTGCGTATCCAGCACAGAAATCTTCAACTGTGATAGCAGCGAATACAAATAATGGTAGTTTTCTGAAAACAATAAAAACTTTCAACGTTCTGTAGTTTTGAAAACAGTAACGATTTTAGTGGTTTTCCTCAAAAACACCTGAAGAGTTGGGTGGATAAAGAAGGCCATAGGTGGTTATAGGTTCATGAAGAAAAAGGGAATGTGTTATTCTTCCACTCAGAACAGACTTAAGCATAAAAAAAGTTGAAGATTGAGGTAAATTTAAATTTCTCAACCAACCCGCAGGTTAACTAAGAGAACGGAGATTATTTGAAGGATCTTTAAAGCCATTTTACTTCCTACGCTGCTGGGCGTGGATGTATTGTTATCGCAAAAATTCAAAAACGGAAAACAAAAAATCGCTCAAGCTTCGTTTTTCTGACGTTTCAAAGTGAGAAACTTTTACTAAATTAGTGGTAACTCACCCATCTTGACAACTTGTGGCGGCGTCTTATGATCTGCTGCATGCACGGAAATATACTCTAACATCGTATCTAACAACCGGATGTACCATTTTTCCAGATCCGCCTTCCTATCACTTTTCAACAGGCAATCAGCGTTGACGGCAAATACCTTGTTTATAATGAAAAATCTTATTTGAAATAGTATATTTTTCTCGTACAATAGAAAGTATCTATGGCTATGTTCTCACAAAATTCGCTATGTAAACGTTGACGTTTAAGAAATGAATGATTTTTGAGCTGACATGAGAGTAATATCTCAAGTGCTTTGAAGCCAATACTAATAGGGTACAGTTTTTACGGCAATTTTTGTATATACGTGATGTCCATACTTGACAGCTCAAGGTAGATGGGACGTATAACATAGCCTATAAATTTTAGATGGCCAGATGTATTTTAACATTTTTAGCACGGAGCCTACAGGGTGACGAAATAGTACAGGCTAATCTGAGTCGATTTTACTATAGGAACTACTTTCAGAAAATTAGCCGTTTTCGAGTTATACTGGTTTTTACTCAAATGTACATTATTAACGTTATCTCTTGAAGTAAGCTTCAAAATGGTGCAATTTTTATAAAAAAATCTTCATCTCAAAAACTTCAGTTCTCTAGAAAAAATCACCTACAAATTTTTTGTTACATTATAACACTATACCACCAAAAATCCCACAAGTTTGGGGGAAAATCCCCCAACATGGCAACCCTGTCAAAGCACCACCTGGTCGTTTTTACAGCGCGAACGGCATTGCCGTAGCTTCTCCTGGTATTTAGGCTCCATGTTTTTTAGGTAAATTGGTATTTCTGGACATTCCTGGATACAGTCTTGTAAAAGATTACACAAGTTTGATCTATAAAAATGCCTTCGCCTTGTGGTGCTGTCTAGTGCAACAGTAATCCATTACCAGTCAACAAAGACTTCATTTTTCAGGTATTGATAAATGTTAAAAGTATGATGAAAACAACGCACAACGCAAACATAAAAAAAACTTCAAACATAAAAAATAACCCAGCACATAATAGGTATGAGCTGTCCCATGAACATTACCTAATCTTTATCTTTACGAGAGTTTAAACAACTAAAAAAAGGTACTATGGTTGACGCTAGTATTTCTCAGCTTTGGTTATTTACGCTGTTGGAATATTAGGATTGAAAAGTATTTTTTCATTACCTCCAGGTTCGACACATACGGCAGGATGCCGCATTTGTGCTTTTTGGCCATCCGACATTCTTTTATGGAATCTATTTGTTGCTGCATGAACTGATCCACGGACCGTTTAACCTCAATCAACTGGGAAGCAAAGGTGTTTGACAAGAAAGAGCTTTGTGCGGACATTACGTGTTGATTCAGACGTACCAGGACGTACATGCAGTAGCTACAAGTAAAAGGAATTAAATAATGACCATCGAAATAAGACAGCGCAAAGTCCCACATCAACTATACCGCCAGGATCGCCAGCCTCTAGCGGTCACCATCATCGCTCATATGGCAAAATTCAAGAGGGGACACATTGGCATTCAGGTTAAGCAAATACTTCAGCCTCCAGTTTAATGAAAAAACAACATTGAAATTTATGTTCCACATGATAGAGCTTATATAGTTTGGAGTTTTTGTAGGCTTTCATTTTGATCCTCAAAAATAAAAATAAAAAAGACGCAGAATGTGGTGGAAACAATTACAAACTATAGCTTCTAGTTGTGGTTGTCTTCAAAGGCATTAGGCATTTTTAACTTCGCTCAACCAAAGTCGGTATAACCCTAAATAAAAATCGTGAAAGTTGAACCAAAGTTATGACTCAGAATTTTAAAAAACGGAAACTTTTTTGTTTTTTGTCACACTTTGTAAGGCTGTGTAGTGGATTTATGATGTAACTTACAAGCTATCTTGTTTCTTGATGTGATCAATCAGCAAATCCAGTTCTGTTTTTAAACAAGAAAATAGATTGCTCATCATATTTTTCACATCTTCATCCAGCTGTTTCTCAGCTTTCTTCGTGGGCAGAATAATTTCTATTTCTTGAAATTCGGCCCCGTCTAACGTCGTCTGCGTATTTTTTGACGTTGGACTTATCACATCCAACTGGAAAATGAGTTAAGTAAACTAGATAACGAAAAAAAATATTCCTCCAACTGTAGTTTCACTATTTTTTAAATAACAAAAACCATTGTCACTCATTTCAATCAATCTATAATGGAGATTTTTGAAAAAACGTTCACGATACCTGAAAGAACTTCACACAAAATTGCTGTTCCTGCATGAACACTGGTTCCAGCTGAGTAAGCACTTTTTCAAGTACTTTATCGTATCTCTGTCTATCTTGCGTACTTGTTTCTAACGTCCACTGATCTCTATCCAGTCCTATCAAAGTCGTAGGTGTAGATACATTGCCATTAGCTGAAAATCAATCAAAGGTGGAAACACGAAAGCTTCTGGTGAAAAATTGAAGTGATAGGATGGAAAAACGATACGTACTGATTTCCATGTAGCCTGAACAGAGAGAGGTTTCAGTTAATTCGGGCTATCTACATATGACTTTAATTTATTTCCAATTTCTTCCATTAACTAAAGGTGGAAAATCGGAAACTTTTCGTGGAAAATCGAAGTGATAGGATGGAATAACGATTCGCAATCATTTCCACGTAGTATGGACATGTTCCGAGAAGTTTGAGTTAATTAAGGCTATCTATGTGTGACCCTAGCTTCTTGTTTTCGATTTCCCATATTAGTCTGGTGGAACAAGTTGTTTTATGGTGAAAAAGAATATATAGTAGGATAATAAAGAAGTCAGAAATTTCTACGCTAACCTCAAATGAACCTGAAAAATCTGTTCACATTTTTTTGTTAGTCAAAGGTGGATAACCAAAGAAATGGGTTGGAAAATCATGTGTGCTTATTTTTTTTAAATCTGTCTAATTCTGGGCTAAGTGCACATGTCCTTGGCAATGTTTTTTTGAAGTTTCTGTCGTAACCCAAATTTGAAAAAAAAATTTTGGTGTAAAAACGTGGTAAAACGATATGTATTGATCGTTTTAAATAATATGGAAAATCTGGGCTATGTGACCTTAGCTCAGCATTTTTTTCAATTTTTTTTTTGAGCTAATGGTGGAGAAACGTGGTAAAACGATGGACAATCGTATGACTCATCGTTTTTAAACAGCCCAGATTTTTCTGGTCGAACTTCACGGACCTAAAATAATCTTGTAAAAAGACTAGATCAAATTTAGAACTCCTCATCATATTATTGATATTTAAGATGTAGTAAAACTGTAGCTTTTAGTTGGAAAACCACAAATTTCTAAATACCTACCCTCAATTTTTTCTCTAGCTGCATTAAAAAGGCCCCTTAAATCACGATCGTACAATTTACCTAACGAACTAGTATAGACTTCTTTCAAAGATTCATACATTTTTTTATCCATTGCCTGCAATACAAGAATTATGTTAAGATTTTCTAGTTTAAGTATTTTACACCTATGTACATACGAAACCAACCTAATTTTATAGCTTTCTTTAATTTGTTTACCATAAAAATAAATAATGCTATAAAGTCTAAATTAAATATATGTATCGAAACTCGGTCTCCTAAGTCTTTAATTAGAAAGCTCAGCTTTTGGCTGCACCACCACTGATACAATTGCTCAGTTCAAAAAAGATGCTGAGATCTTCTGACATTCTAATGTTTTTCTTATCAGCTAAGCATTAAAACAATGTTAGAGTGTTGACAAGAAACCAACCTTCATCCAATGCATCAGTTCAGTATAAGCATATAACTCCTTGTGAACTCCATTATGCTGTGGCAGAAACAAGCCATCTGAACTCCTTTCAGTCTCGCCATTGTGATTACCATAGTGGATGAACAGATTATTCAACTGTCTGCTGAGACTCCGTGAGAACTTTTCCTTGTATCTCTCAAATTTTTTTCTTTGCTCCTGGATAGCACACATTTGTAGCAAGGCCTTGTCTATGTTGGTGTTCATTGCAACTTTCAAAGCTTCTGCAGCTTTGACTACCGCACCTAGACCTTCTCTGGTGGAGAAATCGGCGTCTTCGAGGGTTTTTTGGTATTCAGGGCAAAGGTCTAGTTTTGTCTGCATATAAAAATTATCAATAAACCAATATCCAAATTCAGATGCAAATAAATAATCTTGCCTGAATACTTAAATTAATTATGTTGCAAAATACAAGGTATTGGATGGAAATATCACTCATATCCATTTAAAACACTCTAGGCAAAGTTTATCCATAAAAAGTCCCATTTTTATAAGAGATCCCAAAATAAACAATCAATAATCATCCTTACTTACAATTACATTCTCCAGATCATGCATCAACTTCTGATTATTAGTGTTGACAACAGAAATCATCGAATTCTTCTTTTCCATTTTCTCCATTGTATCTCTCACATGACAGAGTATCTCATCGTAAGCATCAAGTTGATCTTCAAGCTTATCTGCTTCATTTATGGCTAGCTCCAGTTGTTCCATCAGTGACTCTACTTGTTCCTCTGAGGCCAGAACACACTGAACATTTTCTCCATCCAAAAGAGATAAGTCTCTTGAAAGCACCTCCATGAATCCTTCAGCATTGCTGATTGCAAACTCACACCCAGATATTAGCCTGTAAATATTATTTTCAAAACTCAAATTCTATCTTGCAACATACAAGCTAACTGTGGCAAAATGAACGATTTGTGATAATGACATTCACATTATTTTATTGACATATGGAATGTAGTTCAGTTTCTAGCTTTAAATCATGATCTCATTTTTTCATAACACAAAATTTTCAATCAAAACAAAACTGCACTTATATCTTCAACTGTTGCAGAGCTATGGTGCCACAGACAGGTACACACATTAAACTTTCAACACCCCTCCTTTTTTGTGTCATTGATTAAAATATATACACAGAATTTTTTTAATACAAGTACTGACTGAATAAAAACACTTATTGACAAAAAGACACAATCAAATAAAGCACAGGTTAAAAAATGCTTTGTTGCAATGAAATATGGCAGCACCTTCATGCTTGTTGAACTCCTTCACCATTTAGTAAATGCTTTGCTTATAATGCTACACACAATGTATTAACAACACTTGCAAAGTTTGACAGGCAAAATATAATTTCTGGGGTCAAAGATCCACACTCAATAGAAATAAAAGTATTAAAAAATACCACTGTCAGGTCTAGGTTCTATTAACAGTGAAAATATTGTTTATTGTAATCCAGGTGAGCCACATACAAAGCTCAAGCTATGAGATTTTATTGATCAGACCCATTTGGATCTATCAAAAGATAAACATCAGAGCAATATCTTACTTTTTTAAATCTTCTTGTTCCTTATCAGTAATAGCTTGGAAATCTTCTGTTAGATCATTTTCCAGTGCCAGCAAAGGGGAAGCCACATATTTATTCTCTGGAGTCATTGCATCCTCAGTGATCCAGTTGTTTGGAACATTCTTAAATGTTGGTTTATCTTTCAGAATATGCCGGGAGACCTGTTTCCAAAGATTGTGAATAAAAGCATGCCTCTCCTTAGGGTTTGAAGCGACCCAGCGGTATATTTTGTCTAAATGCAAATCAAACTCGTGTGTATCATAAGAATCATTGTAACCATCTACACATTTCAATTCAGCCAATTCCCAGCTTCGTTTCTTCTTCAACACCTGTTTATCAGTCTGTTTCACTTGAACAATGCTGACACTGTACGGCAATGATGAGGTGCTTACAAGGCAAAGGTAAGATGTCTTTTTCTTCTTGAGGTTTTTGCTTACATGGCAGCAAGTTATCAGCCTTTCTTCATTCGGTTCGAACACCTCATTTTGTAATGCTCGTATCAGAGTAGATGTCATTTTAACAGAAAATTGTGGCTTGGTCTCACAAAGGATTCAAAAGACTTCTGCTCCCAATTCCAAACAAGGTGAACGTTATTCAAAATGATTTTTTCAAAATCAAAACATTAGAGTTGACATGTTGACAAATACCCTTTAACCTTTGATTAATCTGACAGTGACAGTTTTGACATGAAGGCTAGTTCACTATTTAGATAACATTTTTCACTGCTAATTCAGTAGTTAGAAATAAAAGGAGCCATACTTCATAACTTATGTCTACTCGCCTGTCAAGCAGAACTGATCGAATTTTGATCAGTTGTCAGGTCGCCTGACAGGCTAGATATTCCCGCCACACACTATAAGGTACACCTGACAGGAGTAACTGTTCAGGCGTACCTGTCAGGTGTACCTGTTAGTCTGTGGCCGGCATTAGGCCCGTATCGTCAGTCGTCCCTACAATTGTAGGGCGCCTTTATGGCCTCCTTGATTGTCATAGTTTTCTACATCTCCGTGTCAGCGCTCTATTTTGAGGTTAGGTCACAAACATCTATTTGCATCAAATTGTGCTTGCTTTTGAGTTATATCATGTTTTATCACCCTGAAATTTCCTACAATTTAAAAGGAAAACATATCTTCACAATAGGAGAGCGCTGACGCTGGCACGGGACAAGTGTAATCTAGAAATTTTTGACGATACGGGCCTTAATGCTCAACAATTTAATAAACAAAGAGAAGACAAGCAACGTATCAGGTGCTCTACTGACCACGCCTCTTTGTCGTCACTCACTAGAAGCAAAACTCAGCCTAAGTCGGTCCCACACGATGTGGCGAATGCCTTACGATGCTGGACACATTGCCATAAGACACATCGTGTGGGAGTGGGAGAGCGCTGACAGATTACATGTGTCCAAGACTCGCCACATGGCACGTTCGAGCTCTGGTCGGTAAATTTGTCCCGCGTCAAAGGACGATACAACGCTGGAAGCAAGGTCGTTACGCTCCCACACGAGATGTCATGTGTTTTAGGTTAGAACCAGTAGCGGTGCAAAACATTATTTACTAGTTTGAGTTGTTTGCTGTGATTGTAGCGAAGTAGTAGTATGTGAGAAGTATTTTGATTTGAATACCTACCTATTCTTAATAATGTATGTACCGTAACTAACTTTTGAGGAGAATGAATTAGATTAGTATACAGAGAAAGCGTAGGCTGCCATAACAACACTTTTTTCATATTGCTAATATGTTGTACGTTTCGCCTATGGATATGTATTTTAGTCAATGATCAAGTGCTTACAGTTGTTTCATTATAATGCAATATATTGACTTGCATTTAATAGCTAATTAAATATATGATCATTCTGAAAGTACTAAGTATCAGCATTTTAATGAAATTTTGACCCTAGGTTACTACTATGAAAATGACCAAAAAGCTCTGCAGTTTTTGAAAATCAAATCGGTGCAGTGGCGGCGGACTGATCGTCGAAAAACGAACAAAAAACGGTCAACCTTCGTTTTTAGACATTTCTGATGCTTCTGACAGACTTAGGTTTTGGTCGCTGAAGACAGATCTGAGATGATTTTTCGGCGTTGGAAAAAATTGTTTCATCGTTCATTTTGTATAATTTTTCCTTCAGTTGTAAAGGTTCAAGCGCGACACTGACACCGATAATAGATGTTGGCGCCACCATGCGTCGAACGTCCGAGACTAAAATGTTCATCCCATCGTATAGGAGTAGGTCACGTACTTGCCAATTGTGGTGTGCCGAGCGTTGTACACAACGCTGGAAGCATCGTGTGGGATCTGCATTACCGGAGCACAGTCACTTTTTGTCATTAGTGTCACTGCTTTGATGTTGATTTTTTAACTTGTTAACTTTTCTGTTGTCAAATTTGAAACTTTGAAACCTGCTCACACGTGCTTCTAACCTCTTGGCGCAGATTGATAAAATATGGATAACAGAACACCAAGACATCCTGTTGGAGATCCCTCACTTTTAGCACCTTCAAATGCTGTAAGTGCAAATTATGAAATAGAAGACTTGTTTCTATGCCAATTCTTTATTTTAGACGATACTCCAACGTGCAAAAAGTGACGGTAGAAGTGAGTACAACGAGTACCTAGTAGCACATATGAAAGAATTAATTGTGAAGGAAACTATAGACAAGCACAAAACAGTTTTGAACGGGCAGCTTCTCTACAGAAACCAAGACTTGACAAAAAAGAACCAGCGGGTACATTCATTACACAAGGAAATAGAATTGCTCGAAATACAAAACAATGTTGGTGAAATTTTGACATCCTTAGAGAAATATGCTACAGAATGTAAGACTATCATTAATGGATACAAACTTTACTTTGAGACATTTTGGAAATATTTAAAGGATGAGTCAGAGAATGTGAAACTAGAAAATGTTAAGGTCATCAACAATCAAGAGGAATATGATAAACTAATGAAAGCATTAGAAAATTTAAGGATTGTAACGGATAAGATTGTTAATTCCAATAGAGATTTTGAAAAAATTCATAAAATAGCTGAAAGCATTAGAATTTATAATGAACAGAAGAATATTGTAAAAGAAAAGCAGGAACAAACACACAAGAGATTTAAAAATATATTTTATGACTTTCTAGAAGATGTGTCCAACATGCTTGCTGAAAAATATGAAGAATAGTTGCTTATGTGTCATTCATTTTTTTGTGTTTCTCCATTGCTTATCTTATTATTAATTATTAATTGTTGTATTTACTTAATAAATGAAACAAAAATAAAGCTGCAAAGCATGTAGAATATTTTAACATTATTGATAATTTTTACAAATTGCTACATTCAAAATTGATATATTTGTATATTGATCTAAATCTATTCAACATCGTACTACTACCACTATGTGTATAGTCAAATGGCATATGAAATTTCCTAATTTCTATAAATTTTATCATCCCCAAAAAATTGTTTTAAATACCTCAAAAAATCAGAAATTCAAAGAAGCATTCTGAACTTGTTATGTTTCCTTCATAACTCGATCACCGAACCTATTTTCAAATTCCACAAAGCATTTCCATCATTGACTTTAGTGCAAAATTTCGTAAAATTTTGAGCAGTGACATAGAGGAGTCAAGGATTGCTGGACAGGTTATAGACAAACAAGCTGACGGAGGAGAGTGTAATTGATTTTTGTGTTGTACATGTGGTGTAACATTAAAAAAAAAATTCGCCATTGCATTATAGTGTTACCTCATCAACATGCATTATGCATCAATAATAAAAAGTCAGTGAGATCATAAAGTTTTATTATTAATTATTTACAAACACTTTATACATCTGTTATCAAAGATATGGATAAAAAAACTGTGATTATACAATAAACAACTAATATAGGTATCTCAAACAAGTAACAAGTTTCAACAAAAGCGATCTTTTGGTATCTGATCAATATCCTTTTCTACCACAAATTGCCTGCCTATAAACTCAAAAGATAGATGGTATCTGTGTAATTTTATAAATGTGTAGAAAAATGACACTAATTTCTCTAAATATAAACACTTAGGTTTACAAGGACAAGGAGATCTTTCAATTTCAATTCTCAAAGGTGTTAAAGATATTAACAGTACACCCATAAAGGTTTTTCAGTTGGACTAGTCAACTGAAATAGCATTTAGGATGCTGAAACTAGTTTTATTGAAATACTAAAGGATTGTGAGGAAAAACTGTTTGACCAAAAACACATTTTTGTCATTTTTATCATGTTTCTTTGCAGTCTCGTTGATGCAATTAGATATTTGATATATGTTCTAGACACACGATTATTATAATCAGCATTCCAATGTTAAGGAAATATGACGGGGTATTTGACTTACTAATAAATCCTCAATTATTATTCTTGTATTGCACCCAAGTTTTAAACTATTTATCAACAATTAATTTCAGCGTAGTCTTAATATCTCAGTCATAATGCATTAGTAAAAATATACAATCTGTCTTTCAGTTCAAAACAGTGAATATGTCTATGATGTTACACTACAGCAACAACTTCAGATCTGATCTAGCCCAATTGAGATGAAGAATTCTTACACGCTTTACTTTTAATCACATAGCTCTACCGCATTTTCGAATTACATACAGTTATGTTACTTTCTCCGACATCCTGCGAATAGTGGTGTATTTTAAGATTCTACGCTCTGCGCCCCATAAATGAACGTAAAAAATTTGTTGGTTGAGGCGGCTAGAGCAGCTCCTCACAGCCTGCTACTCCGGGCATGTAAATACGCCCCTACTTGCAGAAGATTTCAGCTTGTGATGCATCTCGCTTTTTATGTCTGAATCTGATTTTGTAACCCTCCAGCCTATCAAAATCTTTAACCATCCATGAATAATAAGTATGACTGACCCCAATTTTTGCGTACATTTAGATACACCGATCTTAACATAGATGCTTCTGTTCGTTATCATAGTTAATATTGTCCATATGTACAAATACACATATTTCTTACGTCTATGATTTACAACCTTTTTTAATTGCTTAGGGACAGTTTTTAATTTTCATGTATCTCATATTTCTAACAAACGATGTCTGAAGTGATGGATATTTGAGCCACCACCCCTAAAACTGTACAGCTCTACATCTGCTGAAAACTTTTTTACAGATGCGGTTAGACACCTCCGCTTTATGCAAATGCCATTCCAAGCAGTTTTACAAAAAGTACTGCAAAAAGCCACTTGAAACGTATTCCGCTTAGACACATATCTGTCAGTCCAGTGAGGAAGATTCCGTTGTGTGTTAGGAGTTTAGGAGTACTACAATCGGCATCGAAGCTTTCCACCAAACGATTTTACAGTGCATGTAGTCGAATTCACGAAAGATGACGATTACGTCATCATTTCAGTATGTAGTAAAGCCAAACGACAGCGATTTGTGAATATTTTTGAAGTTTCAGAATATGCTAGACAGAGACAAACGTAATTTTATTGTCTAAACAAACTGTATTGCTAATTTGCATGTATCCGACAAAGATAGACGATGTTTTCATGTTGCATGATCGATGATATTTCTAAGATGAATAGTTAGGTTATGTTAAAGCAGGTTAGGTTGTTTTCGAATAATACTTTGGTCTTTGGTGTTCCTGTCTTGAGGTATTATACTCATAACTGTTTTTTTTTCAAAACAAAAACTCCCTAATAAAATTATGTATTATTAAGGTATCACTCAAAACCATGAAATAAAGTGAAAATAAAAATAATCTGTAAAATAACCTAACTTCGCGAATCATAATATAAGTTTGTTGTCATTATATTCCTGACACCGTGATTTTATGATCGACGTACGTCCATTGATACTTCAGTACAATTTATGGTATGACGTAATAGTCATCTTTCGTGATTTTGACTATAGTATCTTGCTCGTAATAGATAATAGAGAGTTACTGATGTCCAGATGTCATGAAAGTAGCAAAAATTGAGAATCACCTAGCAAGACTGAATTTCGATAGAATATAATGATTCATGACATGTCGAGCAAATCATGTCCAACACTTTTGTCGTAGAAAATTCAATTCATAACTTGAATGGTAGATAACAAAATCGTATTTTCTGTCAGGACTACTGTTGGGGTGTGACGACAAGCTATACTACAGACCTTTGTTGTGATCTTATCGCTTGAACTCATAGTTGATTCATTTAGCTCACATGGCTAGATTTGCTCCTGAATTTTGGTTAATCAAGTCAAAAACATCTCTACTAATTTTCTTTTGTTGCCGGCATCGACGGCTAAATTGTCTCATGCTAAACACGTATTTGTTTTGCCCGGCATACGAGGTCTACAAATTAAGTGAAGAGACTGGCAACGCAGCGTTTGGTCTGACAACACTGGATGTGTTGGGCTTGGAAGGGAGACTGGGGATTACGCGATCCACCTTCCCTATAAGGTTGAACTAGCTCGAGTCATTTGGTTGTCCGTAGCGTTTTTTTTGTGAGTTTCATCTGTGTGCAAAAAATGTGGGCACAGTGCAAAGGAAACTCTTGGTAAGCAGGCCTACGGAGGTAGTGTTTCTTCAAGAGCCCAGGTTTTCGGTGGTTTAAGGCATTTTCAGAAGGGAGAGAGGAAGATAAACCACGAAGCGGTCTTCAAGAACCGATGAAAATGTCGACAGAATCCGGTCCGAGCGTCGGTTGACAGTCCCTTAACACTGTTCTCGCAATCCACAGTTAAAAAATATTGCATAACGTTTCCAGACCTTACGGCATATAAGACACATAGAATAATAGTGGTCTAACTCCTCAGATGTTCCAGTATTATCCTGAATGCATGATTATACCGTTTTTTCAGTGAGCTATATTGAATTCAAATCATAATAAGAATATGATGACGCCATCTATTGACCGACTGAAACAAGGAGTTAGACGAGCTTCATACTGATAGATCTAGGTAGATTGATACCTTTTATGTGAATGGCGCGAATTTTCAAAAGAGTGGATTTATACCATTATTATTCTATGTGCCTCATATTTGTTATCATATGAACTCAATATCTCTACAGTGCTTTTCAAAAGGTCCTCTCATCTACTTCTTTTTCGAACGGATCAAGTTAACAAGCTAGAGAATTCAGGGTAGTGGAATTATTGAATGAGTACTATATTTTAGCGTACTTGAAAATTACAAGATGCTGACAAGACGCCATTTTGGAACTTTTATTTAATGGTGTGGGGGTCATGTGAAATCACAATCCTTGAAAATCTCGTACTGATAGGCTGTTAAAGTTGCGCGTTTTTGTGCATTGAGTCTTTTATAACTCACCAACTAATGATCAAAACGGATAGGTATTGCAGCGTTTTTCTGGGTTCTTTTGGGTGTGGATTAAAATACTGGATTCCACGAAAAGAAATGCACTAATTTATTTAATTTGATAAAACATTTATATGCGCCACTATTTATGTCTGACTAATTCTTATGTCACCATTGACTGCACTATACTTCACTCCACTCTGCTACTCTATCGTATGCAGTACTATCCCCCATCTCCCGGCTGCTGAGTTATATATAGTCCCAATTACCGCTTCGAGAAAGATCACAAAGCGACATCTAGAATGTTGGAGATCACTTCGCGTCGATCTAGAAGGCGTTCCACTGTCACGGTCCTCACAGACGCCGCCAGGCGGCTTGTGCGGTCGTGTAAAAGCAGAGATCGGCAATTAAGCTCTGGCGAGTAGGAGACTCGCCCAACAGATGGCGCTATTGGTCACAGTATGTTATAGAAAGGTATATTCGTACATTATGCCATACACTGATTAAGCCTCATCTCGTATTTGGTATATTACCATGGGGAGCTGCATGTTCATCGCGTAAGTATCTATAATTTAGACATTTTTCAGAAAAAGTATTCTAAAATGATGTTGAAACTGAAACTTTCCACTAATGAATTATACGTACATGTGCAAATGTATGACATAAGAAAGCTTTAATTCTTACACATTTTCGCTCACTACCATAAATTTGTCTGCACCGATCGAAAAACTAAAAATAATCATTATACAGGGTACAAAATTCGTGGCACGGTAGTTTCTCAGCCACATAAATCTATAATGCAGGGGTCATATCTCTATTTAGCGCCAAAATTGTATGAAATTATACCTAAAGATTTAAAAGATTGACATTTCGGAAATTATTTCAAAAGAAATTTGGAAAAGTGGCTACATATATCTAGGACCGACATTCATAAACTCATAAATACGAACATCAAGTAAATGCATAATCCTTTTTCTATAATATGTTATAAGTTACAGCTTGAAATTGGTTGTCCATGCACAGGCAATGCCCCCTATCGGACCTTTTTTTATTTTATATTTATTTACTCATGTTGTTTTTTGTACATTGAGTGAATAAATATTATTATTGAAATTATTATTATTATTAGTTTTCTTATTTTGATAGGGTCTATCAGGATATTATAATCAAATATGAAACATTTCAAAAAACTGTCAAGATCTGCCATTTTTTTTTAAATTAAATATCACATATTTCATTCCACATAAGTTGTCGGGTTATAAGCGATTCAATATACAGAGATACTCAACTTTTACAGCCTGTCAGGCCTCCATTCTTTAACAAGGTAGGTATCACAAGACCCCCTTATCGTTTACAAAAATTTTACATGACGGTGCCCAGTTGACATCTCGAATTTCTCGTCTAAGTCACGTTCATCATTCGCTAACTTGACCCGCTCAAAAAATAAATACTGCGGACCTTTCTGAAACGCCCTGTATCTATAGGGATAACGTAATAATTAATCCATTTTAGGTGATAGAGTGAGCATACTTCAATCTCCACATATTGTAGATTGATACAGTTATAGCTAAAATTTATGTACAACCATGACGTCATCGTCTGCCAAGACTCGCCACATGGCACGTTCGAGCTCTGGTCGGTAAATTTGTCCCGCGTCAAAGGACGATACAACGCTGGAAGCAAGGTCGTTACGCTCCCACACGAGATGTCATGTGTTTTAGGTTAGAACCAGTAGCGGTGCAAAACATTATTTACTAGTTTGAGTTGTTTGCTGTGATTGTAGCAAAGTAGTAGTATGTGAGAAGTATTTTGATTTGAATACCTACCTATTCTTAATAATGTATGTACCGTAACTAACTTTTGAGGAGAATGAATTAGATTAGTATACAGAGAAAGCGTAGGCTGCCATAACAACACTTTTTTCATATTGCTAATATGTTGTACGTTTCGCCTATGGATATGTATTTTAGTCAATGATCAAGTGCTTACAGTTGTTTCATTATAATGCAATATATTGACTTGCATTTAATAGCTAATTAAATATATGATCATTCTGAAAGTACTAAGTATCAGCATTTTAATGAAATTTTGACCCTAGGTTACTACTATGAAAATGACGAAAAAGCTCTGCAGTTTTAGAAAATCAAATCGGTGCAGTGGCGGCGGACTGATCGTCGAAAAACGAACAAAAAACGGTCAACCTTCGTTTTTAGACATTTCTGATGCTTCTGACAGACTTAGGTTTTGGTCGCTGAAGACAGATCTGAGATGATTTTTCGGCGTTGGAAAAAATTGTTTCATCGTTCATTTTGTATAATTTTTCCTTCAGTTGTAAAGGTTCAAGCGCGACACTGACACCGATAACAGATGTTGGCGCCACCATGCGTCGAACGTCCGAGACTAAAATGTTCATCCCATCGTATAGGAGTAGGACACGTACTTGCCAATTGTGGTGTGCCGAGCGTTGTACACAACGCTGGAAGTATCGTGTGGGATCTTCATTACCGGAGTACAGTCACTTTTTGTCATTAGTGTCACTGCTTTGATGTTGATTTTTTAACTTGTTAACTTTTCTGTTGTCAAATTTGAAACTTTTAAACCTGCTTCTAACGTTGGCGCATATTGATAAAATTTTCTGTAGATTCCCCAGGGAAATATGGATAACAGAAGACCAAGACACAAAACTGTAGACTCAACGTTTTGTGGACCTTCAACTGATAGAAATACTAATAGACGTGTACTGAACCTCACAACTGCATCAGTTGGAGATCCCTCACTTTTAGCACCTTCAAATGTTGTAAGTGCAAATTATGAAATAGAAGACTTGTTTCTATGCCAATTCTTTATTTTAGACGATACTCCAAAGTGCAAAAAGTGACGGTAGTAGAGAGTACAACGAGTACCTAGTTGCACATATGAAAAAATTAATTGTGAAGGAAACTATAGACAAGCACCAAACAGTTTTGAACAGGCAGCTTCTCTACAGAAACCAAGACTTGAGAAAAAAGAACCAGCAGGTACATTCATTAAACAAGGAAATAGAATTGCTCGAAATACAAAACAATGCTGGTGAAATTTTGACATCCTTAGAGAAATATGCTACAGAATGTAAGACTATCATTAATGGATACAAACTTTACTTTGAGACATTTTGGAAATATTTAAAGGATGAGTCAGAGAATGTGAAACTAGAAAATGTTAAGGTCATCAACAATCAAGAGGAATATGATAAACTAATGAAAGTATTAGAAAATTTAAGGATTGTAACGGATAAGATAGTTAATTCCAATAGAGATTTTGAAAAAATTCATAAAATAGCTGAAAGCCTTAGAATTTATAATGAACAAAAGAATATTGTAAAAGAAAAGCAGGAACAAACACACAAGAGATTTAAAAATATATTTTATGACTTTCTAGAAGATGTGTCCAACATGCTTGCTGAAAAATATGAAGAATAGTTGCTTATGTGTCATTCATTTTTTTGTCTTTCTCCATTGCTTATTTTATTATTAATTATTAATTGTTGTATTTACTTAATAAATGAAACAAAAATAAAGCTGCAAAGCATGTAGAATATTTTAACATTATTGATAATTTTTACAAATTGCTACATTCAAAATTGATATATTTGTATATTGATCTAAATCTATTCAACATCTTACTACTACCACTATGTGCATAGTCAAATGGCATATGAAATTTCCTAATTTCTATAAATTTTATCATCCCCAAAAAATTGTTTTGAATACCTCAAAAATCAGAAATTCAAAGAAGCATTCTGAACTTCTTATGTTTACTTCATAACTCCACAAAGCATGTCCATCATTGACTTTAGTGCAAAATTTCGTAAAATTTTGAGCAGTGACATAGAGGAGTCAAGGATTGCTGGACAGGTTATAGACAAACAAGCTGACTGAGGAGAGTGTAATTGATTTTTGTGTTGTACATGTGGTGTAACATTAAAAAAAATTAGCCATTGCATTATAGTGTTACCTCATCAACATGCATTATGCATCAATAATAAAAAGTCAGTGAGATCATAAAGTTTTATTATTAATTATTTACAAACACTTTATACATCTGTTATCAAAGATATGGATAAAAAAACTGTGATTATACAATAAACAACTAATATAGGTATCTCAAAGAAGTAACAAGTTTCAACAAAAGCGGTCTTTTGGTATCTGATCAATATCCTTTTCTACCACAAATTGCCTATAAACTCAAAAGATAGATGGTATCTGTGTAATTTTATAAATGTGTAGAAAAATGACACTAATTTCTCTAAATATAAACATTTAGGTTTACAAGGACAAGGAGATCTTTCAATTTCAATTCTCAAAGGTGTTAAAGATATTAACAGTACACCCATAAAGGTTTTTCAGTTGGACTAGTCAACTGAAATAGCATTTAGGATGCTGAAACTAGTTTTATTGAAATACTAAAGGATTGTGAGGAAAAACTGTTTGACCAAAAACACATTTTTGTCATTTTTATCATGTTTCTTTCCAGTCTCGTTGATGCAATTAGATATTTGATATATGTTCTAGACACACGATTTTGTATTATAATCAGCATTCCAATGTTAAGGAAATATGACGGGGTATTTGACTTACTAATAAATCCTCAATTATTATTCTTGTATTGCACCCATGTTTTAAACTATTTATCAACAACTAATTTCAGCATAGTCTTAATATCTCAGTCATAATGCATTAGTAAAAATATACAATCTGTCTTTCAGTTCAAAACAGTGAATATGTCTATGATGTTACACTACAGCAACAACTTCAGATCTGATCTAGCCCAATTGAGATGAAGAATTCTTACACGCTTTACTTTTAATTACATAGCTCTACCGCATTTTCGAATTACATACAGTTATGTTACTTCCTCCGACATCTTGCGAATAGTGGTGTATTTTAAGATTCTACGCTCTGCGCCCCATAAATGAACGTAAAAAATTTGTTGGTTGAGGCGGCTAGAGCAGCTCCTCACAGCCTGCTACCCCGGGCATGTAAATACGCCCCTACTTGCAGAAGATTTCAGCTTGTGATGCATCTCGCTTTTTATGTCTGAATCTGATTTTGTAACCCTCCAGCCTATCAAAATCTTTAACCATCCATGAATAATAAGTATGACTGACCCCAATTTTTGCGTACATTTAGATACACCGATCTTAACATAGATGCTTCTGTTCGTTATCATAGTTAATATTGTCCATATATGTACAAATACACATATTTCTTACGTCTATGATTTACAACCTTTTTTAATTGCTTAGGGACAGTTTTTAATTTTCATGTATCTCATATTTCTAACAAACGATGTCTGAAGTGATGGATATTTGAGCCACCACCCCTAAAACTGTACAGCTCTACATCTGCTGAAAACTTTTTTACAGATGCGGTTAGACACCTCCGCTTTATGCAAATGCCATTCCAAGCAGTTTTACAACAAGTACTGCAAAAAGCCACTTGAAACGTATGCCGCTACAACTGGCTTAGACACATATCTGTCAGTCCAGTTAGGAAGATTCCGTTGTGTATTAGGAGTACTACAATCGGCATCGAAGCTTTCCACCAAACGATTTTACAGTGCATGTAGTCGAATTCACGAAAGATGACGATTACGTCATCATTTTAGTATGTAGTAATGCCAAACGACAGCGATTTGTGAATATTTTTGAAGTTTCAGATATGCTAGACAGAGACAAACGTAATTTTATTGTCTAAACAAACTGTATTGCTAATTTGCATGTATCCGACAAAGATAGACAGGTTAGGTTGTTTTCGAATAATACTTTAGTTTTTGGTGTTCCTGTCTTGAGGTATTATACTCATAACTGTTGTTTTTTTTCAAAACAAAAACTCCCTACTAAAATTATTATTAAGGTATCACTCAAAACCATGAAATAAAGTGAAAATAAAAATAATTTGTAAAATAACCTAACTTCGCGAATCATAATATAAGTTTGTTGTCATTATATTCCTGACACCGTGATTTTATGATCGACGTACGTCCATTGATACTTCAGTACAATTTATGGTATGACGTAATAGTCATCTTTCGTGATTTTGACTATAGTATCTTGCTCGTAATAGATAATAGAGAGTTACTGATGTCCAGATGTCATGAAAGTAGCAAAAATTGAGAATCAACTAGCAAAACTGAATTTCGATAAAACATAATGATTCATGAACATGTCGAGCAAATCATGACTAACACTTTTGTCGTAGGAAATTCAATTCATAACTTGAATGGTAGATAACAAAATTCGTATTTTCTGCCAGGACTACTGTTGGGGTGTGACGACAAGCTATAATACAGACCTTTGTTGTGATCTTATTGCTTGAACTCATAGTTGATTCATTTAGCTCACATGGGTAGATTTGCTCCTGAATTTTGGTTAATCAAGTCAAAAACATCTCTACTAATTTTCTTTTGTTGCCGGTATCGACGGCTAAATTGTCTCATGCTAAACACGTATTTGTTTAGCCCGGCATACGAGGTCTACAAATTAAGTGAAGAGACTGGCAACGTAGCGTTTGGTCTGGCAACACTGGATGTGTCGGGCTTGGAAGGGAGACTGGGGATTACGTGATCCGCCTTCCCTATAAGGTTGAACTCGCTCGAGTCATTTGGTTGTCCGTAGCGTTTTTTTTGTGAGTTTCGTATGTGTGCTAAAAATGTGGGCACAGATAAACCACGAAGCGGTCTTCAAGAACCGATGAAAATGTCGACAGAATCCGGTCAGATCGTCGGTTGACAGTCCCTTAACACTGTTCTCGCAATCCACAGTTAAAAAATATTGCATAACGTTTCCAGACCTTACGGCATATGAGACACATAGAATAATAGTGGTCTAACTCCTCAGATGTTCCAGTATTATCCTGAATGCATGATTATACCGTTTTTTCAGTGAACTATATTGAATTCAAATTATAATAAGAATATGATGACGCCATCTATTGACCGGATGTATTACGAAAGCTGAAACAAGGAGTTAGACGAGCTTCATACTGATAGATCTAGGTAGATTGATACCTTTTATGTAAATGGCGCCAATTTTCAAAAGAGTGGATTTATACCATTATTATTCTATGTGCCTCATATTTGTGTTCATGTGAACTCAATATCTCTACAGTGCTTTTCAAAAGGCCCTCTCATCTACTTCTTTTTCGAACGGATCAAGTTAACAAGCTAGAGAATTCAGGGTAGTGGAATTATTGAATGAGTACTATATTTCAGCGTACTTGAAAATTACAAGATGCTGACAAGACGCCATTTTGGAACTTTTATTTAATGGAGTGGGGGTCATGTGAAATCACAATCCTTGAAAATCTCGTACTGATAGGCTGTCAAAGTTGCGCGTTTTTGTGCAGTGAGTCTTTTATAGCTCACCAACTAATGCTCAAAACGGATAGTATTGCAGCGTTTTTCTGGGTTCTTTTGGGTGTGGATTAAAATACTGGATTCCACAAAAAGAAATGCACTAATTTATTTAATTTGATAAAACATTTATATGCACCACTATTTATGTCTGACTAATTCTTATGTCACCATTGACTGCACTATACTTCACTCCACTCTGCTACTCTACCGTATGCAGTACTATTCCCCATCTCCCGGCTGCTGAGTTATATATAGTCCTAATTACCGCTTCGAGAAAGATCACAAAGCGACATCTAGAATGTTGGAGATCACTTCGCGTCGATCTAGAAGGCGTTCCACTGTCACGGTCCTCACAGACGCCGCCAGGCGGCTTGTGCGATCGTGTAAAAGCAGAGATCGGCAATTAAACTCTGGCGTGTAGGAGACTCGCCCAACAGATGGCGCTATTGGTCACAGTGTGTTATAGAAAGGTATATTCGTACATTATGCCATACACTGATTAAGCCTCATCTCGTATTTGGTATATTACCATGGGGAGCATTTTTCAGAAAAGTATTCTAGAATGATGTTGAAACTGAAACTTCCCACTAATGAATTATACGTATATGTGCAAATGTATGACATAAGAAAGCTTTAATTCTTACACATTTTCGCTCACTACCATAAATTTGTCTGCACCCATCGAAAAACTAAAAATAATCATTATACAAGGTACAAAATTGGTGGCACGGTAGTTTCTCAGCCACATAAATCTATAATGCAGGGGTCATATCTCTATTTAGTGCCAAAATTGTATGAAATTATACCTAAAGATTTAAAAGATTGACATTTCGGAAATTATTTCAAAAGAAACTTGGAAAAGTGGCTACATATATCTAGGACCGACATTCATAAACTCATACATACGAACATCAAGTAAATGCATAATCCTTTTTCTATAATATGTTATAAGTTACAGCTTGAAATTGGTGGTCCATGCGAGGCAATGCCCCCTATCGGACCTTTTTTTATTTTATATTTATTTACTCATGTTGTTTTTTGTACATTGAGTGAATAAATATTATTATTGAAATTATTATTATTATTAGTTCTCTTATTTTGATAGGGTCTATCAGGATATTATAATCAAATATGAAACATTTCAAAAAACTGTCAAGATCTGCCATTTTTTTTTAAATTAAATATCACATATTTCATTCCACATAAGTTGTCGGGTTATAAGCGATTCAATATACAGAGATACTCAACTTTTACAGCCTGTCAGGCCTCCATTCTTTAACAAGGTAGGTATCACAAGACCCCCTTATCGTTTACAAAAATTTTACATGATGGTGCCCAGTTGACATCTCGAATTTCTCGTCTAAGTCACGTTCATCATTCCGAATTTCAGTTCGCTAACTTGACCCGCTCAAAAAATAAATACTGGGGACCTTTCTGAAACGCCCTGTATCTATAGGGATCGCGTAATAATTAATCCATTTTAGGTGATAGAGTGAGCATACTTCAATCACCACATATTGTAGATTGATACAGTTATAGCTAAAATTTATGTACAACCATGACGTCATCGTCTGCCACAATCACGAATTTCGGATCGAACCGTCATAACTGCACGGACACTAAATCACATTGCTCCATGCATTCAAATTCTGGAGTCAGGTCCGGCTTCGGAGATTTTCGGGGAGACGTCGCCGAGCTTTTGGCAAGAGTGTTGAACGACCTCTGATCTGGAACGAGAATTAAAGAATCGATTAAAGCTGGAGTCTTTCTTAAAAAAATCGTTTGGTAGATACGATATGGTATACAGCCACTTCAAAACGACAGCAATAGTGATATAGTCGCCAGACTTGTCACTTCTAAACTAGCAGTCATTTATTTCATGTTCACCATAGTAGCTGTGTGTGTTGCCTAACCGTCAAGATACTTTGAAATATGTGCTGTGACTCTGATGTGATGTAACATCTGCTACAGAGATGGCACTGGCAGAGCCCACTCATAGCTTATTACCTGTAATTTGTGTCATTCCTCGATAGATGGCGCTTATAGCCAGTACGCGCGTACCGATAACGTGGACTAGCTAGTGACTAGCTAGTACACAAGTGATGAGATCGTTTCCATAGCGAATATTCAACATATTACGGGTGCGGTATGTAAAACGTTTCATAGACAGACTAGGTATTGTGAACCGTCCAGCGGATTTGAGAAAATAAAAGGCCCAATCAGCATACCACGTTTACCACGCTATCCAAAATATTCAAAGATAATGTTTGCGATAAAAATATTAAACATAATCATTATACAAGGCACAACATTTGAGGCACAGAAGTGCGTCAGTCACATAAATCTACAGGGTGTCCGCAAAGTTGGGGTTTTCCTTTACACGATATTGATCTTGAGAAAATAAGCGGATTTTCTTAGTAGCATATACACCAATATCCTAAGAGAACCGAGATATTGGGCTCCGCAAACCTGAACCAAACCGAAGCCGGTCCTGTCCTATCCCTCAATCACGTCCACGGCGCCAGCATACAGTTGGTATAAGACGTGCGACTACGATGTAAATACGGATTTTACGACAGAGCCGTACTTGGAATTTCAATTCATCTGAACAGTGAGTACTTTTTAATTGTTTTTACTTGTTCGCTCACGTTTCACCACATATAGGCTTTGTTATATCAAGCGTCTGAAAAGCAAAACCCCAACTTTGCGGACACCGTGAATAATGTCTATTTAGCGCCAAAATTGTATGAAATTATACCTAAAGATTTTAAAGAATCACATTTCGGAAATGATTTCAAAAGAAATTCTCTAGTGCTTCTTTGCTTTCTGCAAGAATCAATACTCCTTCCTCAGTTTGCACCATTCAGGGTTGTGTAGGTCCTCCACTATGCCAACCTCCACATTCCTGCAATACGACATGTTTCTCTAGTACTTTGAACAAAGTAAACAAATCTATGCGGCCCCCGATGATAACGTCTGGAAAAGCGATCTGCATTCACTCGCGAAGCCTCGGAAGCATTTTGAAGGTACTCGTTTCTTGTACCGTTTGGCAAATAAATGTTTTATTTACCTACGCTGCAGGCGCCCGGGTTGGGCACTAACGTACGTCGTGTCTTCTCACGTTTCATCTGATCGAAATACAGATTAGGTTTGATTGATTTTGTGGACCCTAATATCTCGGTTATCTTAAGACTTTGGTGTGTATGCTACCAGGAAGATCTATACGTCGTGTAAAGGAAAGTTCCAACCTTGACGACACCCTATGTAGGACGAATGGCTAACTAAATAAAACATATCGTATTGTGTTCCACTGTAAACATGGGCGACTGCGACTAGCCCTGGTTTTCTGTATAATACTTGTAACCTACCATTGGGTGAAGCTCTAACTCCTCTAGGGGATGCACCAGCACCCCCTGCGTCTCTATGCTATACAGATATCTCCTGAATTTGGACCCTCTTCTTGATCGTACCACCCTGGGGATTGCTGGACGTCCTTTGGGGAGGGGGTGGTTTCTCCCTTCTCAACGTACCATGTGCACTGTGGTGGGGAGAGAAGTCGCCTATTGATAGGCTGTTAGGTATGGTGTTATAAGAGGGGGGCAGATCGTGTTTTTCTTTCTTGGTGGCAATCGGAGATTGACGAGCTGAGCTTCCTGGCGTTGACGGGCGCTGAGACATAGGGATGGCTTCTGTTGATGGGGTAGAGTTTGATCTGGAATTGAGAAGCGAGTAGTAGTTGCCTGCTATTTGGAGGAAATGTGGGGTCCTTCAAGACGATATTTTGTACTTGCAGTCCCCGGTGAACAATATATTAACATCATCCAAAATACTACCAAAAATGTTTTCGATCATCATTAGAAAGTGAGATGTCCTCGGTAACTTTAACAAATCAAAAATAATTTTTTCATTCTATGGGCACAAGGAGCGCATGTCCAGGGTTCCGGCTTTTGATATGAGGACCCCAAATTGAAAATTAAATGGAGTTTCCAAATAATGGGTCTAAGTACACCCCCAACCCCCACAAATATGTTTTACATAGAAAAGAAAGCAAAACGTTTTAAAATACGTACAAAATGAAAAGAAATTACTAGATCAACTTTCAAAATTAATAGAATTAATGGAATGTAAGAAACCTGTGGGGTATAAGATGCTGTGGTCAGATGTAAGAAAAAAAAGTTGTAGTTAACCCAAAAGGCAAGAACAACAGTAGCACCGAAACAAAAAATTATAATGCAAGAATTAAATCCTACGGATATAGAAATATAATAAAATTATTACACACGCAACACAAGGATGTTGAGCCATTCGCATGGAAGACAAAAAATTATTAGCAAAATTGATACAATGAAGCGGAAGTATTATTAGAAGAAGATTACGAAACTAACATAGCAGTGCATTTAGACCGAAAATAAAAATAGTTACTGTTTATGAGGCTGAACTGAATGATGAAGAAAAACTTGTGTCTAAATTTAAAAATTAAAATATTCTCGAAGAACTAAGAAGTAGAGAATGCAAGAGTATTAAAAGTAGCAGCCAAGCGTGTAATAATAATAGAACCGTCTAGTCAAAAACTAATTGCTGGATAAGAAACAATATATTTGGGATGGAATAGCGATGAATTTTGAAATTGGCTGCTAAGCGCATTTCTGTTGTAGTATATAACTACTGCAGTCACAATAACATCAAGAAAGCATATAAGTCTGAACGGTATATCAGCAATGACTGTAAATGAGAGATCCTAAGTATCTCATATAACAATGATGCTCCAACAGCTATTTAAACCAATCTAAAAAAGTCAAAGGACAGTGAAAAATAGCAGTTAAATGAAAATAACAGCTAGAAAAAGATTGCTACATAATCTTCTGCAGCTCCAGTTCAAAACCAAGGAGTTGGAAAAGTAATCTGTTTTTGTTGAAGGAGTAAGATATTAAGGACTTTATTTTTTAGAAAAACCAAGTAATTTGTGGTTGTTATTATGTTCATCTTAATGTAATATTGTAGCCTATATCAAAATAAACACACGTTCTATACAGTCCTATAGAGGAAGAACTAAACAAAGTCCGTTACATTGAAACATTATTGTTATTTACCTGGAACTGCGATTATGTGGTTGTCCTCTCCGTCTATCTCTCTCCCTCTGGTAATAGATTCCGGCGAATATGAGCATATTTAAGACTAGCAAGAGGCACCCAACACCAACTGTAACTCCAAGAGCTGCCGTGTAGCTATAGTAGTGCCGATTGGCCAGGTGCTGTAGCAGCTTTTCGCTATCGTCATCACCAGAATCTGAAAGTTGCGACGATAAGTATTGATCAAAGGTTTCGGCTTTGTCTATAGTCTATATAAAGGTAAAATAAATATGTTCTTACAATTGATTCTCTCTATAAAAGGAAATACTACCGGATACCTATGTATTCACATCATTTTGTTCAGTGTCAGACTTTTTTTTGATATTTGGGACAAGTGGAAGAATAACTACATAAGCTACACCTCGTTCTTTTGTAAATTATAAATAATGACGATTGTTATTATTATTATTATTATTAGTATCACAGTATTCAACTTTCGAACCAAGTACTTCAAACACGAGGCGGTAGAATCTCATAAAATTTTTAGGTACCATTCACATTTCTATAAACTCACTTTTGAAATAATCCAAGAATATATCAAATTTCCCATAACAGTTCATGTAAAATGTTACGGACTACCTCAGATACAAATACGCATTTTCATATTGTATCTAAGATACTACTACTAAAATTTTTATTTGTATCTACTAGATACAATACTTTGAACATAAAGGAATTTGAAGCATTTCTATAAGTTTTACCTAAGCCCAAGTAACACCATTACTGTGTCTGACACTACAGCGTCTAGATTTGATATCTGAAGTTAAAAGTATATCCGTTGTTATCTTTCTTCAGATATTATTATCCATTCGTTATGGAAGACAAGGAGACACTTTCTTATCTCTCATGTCACCGTCACCTTCGGTAAGAGTTAAACATAATGAAGTATTTTATGGGTGGTTTCTAATAAGGATTAAAGATGGGTCATACGACTAGCTAAGCAAATGCATTTGATTTTTCGCTTTTTAAAAATACGCACCAGCTTCACTACCTTCTTCAAAGTTTCCTTCAGACGCCGCAGCTGCAGTGACATTGGGAACACATTCAGCGCTGTTGAGGTGAGTTTCGCTTATCGAGGCAGGATGTATGACAGGAGGTAACCTGGTGAACGATTCTGCCTTCACGGCGCCTGAAACAAAAACAATAAAATCAGATTCTCTAATAGAATCATCACTTTATATGTATAATCCGTTTTGCTTCATTTACTTCTCCGACCTCCTTTCTGTCTCCCTGACCACTCCTGACTTTGTCTGGTATCTGGGCAACATGAGCCTAGAGATCTACCAACCCGTAAGACTGGTGAGGTGAGAGCAAAGAGCCATTCTGATTGGTGCTCTGACAAGCAGTAACATATACACGCCTGCAAGTAGCCAGATGGAAGCGCATTCACCAGCGATGACGATATGAATTTGGTTGCGCTTTCACCATTATCACTAATTGCCGTAACGTAAATAATCAATTTATTCCAATCGACCAAATACATGGCATATGAAACGTCGATGCACACTCAAAGGATAGTCTATATATATATTTATAATTTTACAGAAGAGTGATGTAGTATATGATGACCTCAGGTTTTCTCAGAGCACAAAAACATTGCAGAAGAGGCCTATCACCTTGAAGATTCCAGATATTTCGACACATTATAATGGGTGGGCCATTTAAAAGTTTCGATTTAAAAATAAAATAAAACAAAAACGGTTTGAGATATTGCCAAATTTATTTTTTTGTTTTGAAGTACAATTGTTCCGCTCAGAAATGAAATATTACTTCATTCAAATGGCTGCCGCGGCTGGCCTCACAGTAGCCCATTCGATCGGACCAATTTTCGAGCACTTTTTCGAGTGTTTGGGGCCGTATCTCGTCAATGGCATCACGAATGTTGGCCTTCAAATGGTCAATTGTCTCTGGATGGTCGACATAACACTTGTCTTTAACAGCGCCCCACAGGAAATAGTCCAATGGTGTCAAATCGCAGCTTCTTGGCGGCCAATTGACATCACCATTTCGACTGATTAAACGGCCATCGAAGGTTTCGCGCAATAAGTTGATTGTGGCATGCGATGTGTGACAAGTTGCACCATCCTGCTGAAACCAAACATTCTCCACATCAATACCATCAAGAGCAGGAACAAAAAAATCAGTTATCATGGTGCGATAGGTGTTTCCATTGACAGAAACGGTTGCGCCGTCCCCGTCTTCAAAGAAATATGGGCCAATGATGCCTCCGCTCCACAATCCACACCAAACAGTCACTCGCAAGGGATGCATTGGCTTCTCTAAGACCTCGTGTGGGTTTTCCGAGCCCCAGATACGGCAATTTTGCTTATTGACGTAGCCACCAATATGAAAATGAGCTTCGTCTGAAAAGATTATTTTTTTCGCAAAATCGACATCATTGATTAGTTGCTCGTTGGCCCATGTAGCGAAGGCAGAACGAAGTGGATGGTCACGCGGCTTCAACTCTTGAACCAATTGAACTTTGTAAGGCGTCATACCGAGATCTTTCCGCAAAATTCGTCGTAAACTGGTGCGGGAAATGTTCAATTCTTGGGAACGATGACGTGTTGACGTTGATGGATTTTCACGCACACTCGCAGCCACAGCATCGATACCTTCGGGTGTACGCACTGTACGAGCACGCTGACGTGTTGGAGCATCAACAATGAAACCAGTTTCACGCACTTTATTAATAAACTTGCGTATACCGGGCGCTGTTGGTGCTTCGTTGCGACCGAATTTTGAACGGCATTTTCGTGCAATTTCTGCCCAATTGTCTTTGTTTTGGAAATAAATTTCCAATATTACCCAACGTTGCTCAAGCGTAAATCGATTCATTTCGTTCAGCGGAGATAATATACTGAATTTTATGACAAATCAGATTGACATAAGTATTGTCAGCGTCAAATTAACACGTGGTTCAAATCGAAACCGATAGATGGGACGATATGAAATTATACAGGGTGTTTCAGTTTATTGTTGCATAACTTTAAGATTCGATAGAACTTTTAAAATTAATGCATAAAGTCTATATAAACATGGGTCGAAAAATGCGTGGCTTCCGAAATACAGGGTGTTTAAATATACTTTCTAAAATAGTTTTTTTTAAATATTTCGAACAATATTTGATGTATAACAGTGAAAATTGGTGTGCAAGGGTTTTTTGGTACGACACAACGAACCATGGGCATAGTTTTACTGTAGCTGCTAGAGGGCGCTCTCTACTGTACCTGTAGTGTATTAAAATGACTGAAAATTTTTTCTAGTGCAATTTTTTGCATTTTGAATAAAAAAAACTTGTTCTTTGCACTTTTCTGCATAAAAGAGCTCTCCTGTGAGTTTTCGTTATAGTTAGCCGTTTTAGAGATATTTCAATTTTTAAGGTTCGATGCATTTTTAATTATTTATGGGAAAATATTTTTTTTACATTTGTTGAATTTAAAAAATTAAAGAGATAAGAAATAATTATATTCACCGTACACTGTCGAATTACAAGCCATATACATGCGAACAGTAATTACACACAACGCGGGCGCGGTGATGATTTCCCGCAATTCTCCCCAGTTTTTCGTAATTTATAACTACGAACATAACCTCCCTTCAGAAAGCACAACATATAAATAACCCGTCATATCCAGTAATGATTTTCTCACACAGCAAATATCACTGATTTTATACACATGCAGATCAATACACATAATCATCCAGATGCGATCTTGCTATTCAGCCAACTTTGTTCTCAGAGATAAAAACTACAGAGACGGATCACTCAGTCTCACAAAACTATGCAACCAATAATGCGTGTAGTTAGTTGAGTGATTCCTCCATAGATGGACGTTCATAACGATCCTAGTGAGCAAACGTGGAATGACTATTTGCGTCCTAAAAACTACCTAGTCTGCAAGTTGACATCTTATAGGTTTTTGTTGACGTTTTATAGGTTTTTTACATGATACCCGTGCGGATCGCCAACGGATCGTCTGAGTGACAGGGTTCCGAGAATGTCCATTAGAAAAGAGACTCTTCTCTGAACATAAATAATGTAGTCGGGGCGGTAGTACCCTAAACACTTGAGGTGTGCTTTAATAGGTCTTATCTGGGCCGTGTACATTGTGAGGAGGTTTATGTGGAAGAGTACTTCTTAAACAGTTGTTGCTTCTACGCTTGGTTGTCCTTTTTAGATCTTCATTCTGCAGCTGTAGCTCCAACGGAGCTCTAAGCTCTTCTTCTTTGATGTACGAGTATGTTTGCGGACTACACAGTGTTGGTACTGCGGTGTTAGTAAAAATGATCAAAGGTACCTTAGTTGTCAGCCTTCGCTTCCCCACCACTACTGTATTAGAATGTAAGATCAAGGTCACTTCTAAGAGTCAAATGAAGGTCAAATTAGTAATCCCAACTTCAGGGACACTTTTTTTAACTAGAAATCCCATTTTTTGGCACCGGCAATGAATCATTTTACGCTCTAATGGTGGTGATGCTCAAGGTGAACTTTAAAGTTGATGTTGGAATCCTTGCTAGATGCTACTAACGCCTTGATTTTTACTCTTTACTCAATTATCCTGAATTTTCCATATCTTCACACATTTGATCTCCATTTTGAACTTTAAAGGTACATAGAGGGATTTCCTATTTAAAAAACAAAAGTTGGTTTTGAACTAACCTTTGAAATGCGGTTGAAAGACAAATCCAAGGTCACTACCCAATTCCTTGCTAGTTAGTGTAGACCTGAGCTTGATATTTTTTAAAAATACCAGGTAAATAGAAATCCGCCATCTTCTATACTATCAGATTTCCAGATACTAATTTGTCTGTTTGCTCTCCCAGTTTATACGCAAAATGGACCGTTGTGACGTCAGTAAACCTGAGCGGATATCAAAGGTACACATTTCGGCGACTTCCCGTCTAAACTGCTGATGTGAGCAAACAACTTTCTGTTTGCCCATCATCCGCACACATGCTCTAATCCATCTTGGAAGCAGGCAAACATCAAGGCCAATAAATACATGCTGCAGGTAGATTTGCTTCCTGCTGCCTCTGGGATCTGTATTCAGCATATATACAGCATTCGTAGTAGCCTGATCGATTGGAGAATGTCAATATTTGACGGGTATCGCACCGGGTGGACGATAAATAGATAATCTGGGCCGTTTTCCATATAAAACTGATGCAGATTACAAGCATGTTTTTAATGCTCGCCCAGACGTTACATTGAATGTACAGTATATTCAGATAAGAGATAGACCGAACATAAACAAGACCACGTGATCATCGAACGCTGTAACATTCGGCAGGGACGTATTAAGAGTCACGCAGTACATATTTTAGATAGTAGATGCTGCTTTGCGTAACTTTGTAGTAAATTAGCACAATTCGATGTGTATACGATTGGTGATGGATATAGGATCATGTGGGGGTGGGGTAAGAAATATATAATGATGTAAATATACATAAGGGTTTCAAAATTTTCGCTTCGATTTCCAGCTTCGGATAAAAATAATCGTATATCTCTTAAAATTGCTTTTAGAATATTGATTAGTATATTTGTTGATTTCTAGGTAAATATGTAACCAAATTAAAACGTTCAAAACGTAAAAAAATGTGCATGGTTGAACATTGTCAGAAAGTAGATTCTTGAACAGGTTTTGCCAAAATGGGTTCAAAAATGTCAATAATTAATTAAAAAATACAGTAGCTTTATAATTACTTATAACTTACCGAATTTGATGAAAGACATCTTTTATTGGAAAAATGAGCTTGATGAGCTTTCATCATTGCTACTACCTGAAGCACCAACGTCAATAATGAATGGATCAAATTGTTCCTCTAAAATATTGTCCAGTTCCCACATTCTCTTTTCAACTTTGTCTTTCACGTGCTTAATACAGTTTTCCCATTTTTGCGCTGTTATTAATTCTAGTGCTTCTTTGAAAAGTCCTTTGACGTCACAAAATTTAAAAGTTGTATTGTGCTTAACTATATAATTTTTAACCTCTGCCCATATGAGCTCAATGGGATTGAGCTCGCAATGGTATGGAGGTAAACGGAGCACAGTTTTATTTTGACTTGCTGCCATTTCGTCAATGGCGTATTTTTGATATTCCGCCTTGTGATCCTTGACAATTCTTAATA